GTGCACAGAAGGCGCACAGCCACATCGACACCCACACCCCACACCTAATCCTATACCCACACTCACACCCACACCCGCACCCACACCCACCCACACCCACCCCACACCCACACTCCACACCCACACCCACCCCACACCCCACACCCACACCCACACCCTCACCCACACCCATCCTACCAATTGGAATTGCTGCATCGAACGATGGTAGAGAATAAAAATCACATGAAAGAAAATTGGACAAGAAAGCAATAATAGTGGATTGATTCGGTTATTCTTTGATTCTGTGATGAAGCTGGATCATCAAATAGATAGAGAAAATTACGTGTTGAATCCTTCAGATAGCAACTTTGTGAATGATATGGAGAAAATTCGATTAAGATAATAAAAGAAGCTTTCGACACAGTTCCTATGAAATTAAAATTTGAAATGCAATGCATACTCATTTGATCAAGTTGATCTCTTAGTTTTTTTAACAAAGAGTATCCCCTTTCTAACCGTGAAAATTCACTTTTCTTTTCGTTTTCTTTATTCTACAGCAATATTCTAGAATCCTCTATCGAATACCATATAAACAAATGGTTTCTATATTGTTTAAATCCTCAAAAAGTTTGATTTTAAGCATCGGCTATCTTAAAAATCAAGTTTCAGAGCTTTCTGCTATAGCAAATTATCCATAGTAAACCAATTATTTCATCAATAAAGCATCTTGTGTAGATCAAAGGCTTTGCAAATGTAATGACGATAACCATTAGTTGAAGAATAGAACAATTGGAAGTATCTAAAAACATCATTTTGCATTTGTTTTTCAGTGTCAACTTTTCAAAGGAAAAAATAAAGGTTTGTCTGTTTTTTCACTTGCACGCTATGATCAATTGAGCTGAAAATTGTTTTATAATAACTTCAGTGACATCAACATAGATATAATTTTTGTTTGAAAAAATATCTTTGGTGAATTTGAACAAATTTTATAAAATTTACCACAAACAAAAAAAAATGCTCTTGGTATTTCGATTCTCTGGTTCGTATATCTCATCAAAACAAACATCATGCAAGTTAGATTGTAGCCAAATTTCATTCTGCTATGTGATAACTGAGAAAGGAGGCACAGATACTTTTAGCGATTCGAACAGTTCGTTTCTTCTCATATTAATGTATGTACACGATTTTTCTTTGTAGCTTTAACTGAAGTTTGATTCGTTGTAGTGATTTTAGATGATTGACATCACATGGAGTCGCAAAAGAAAAAGAAAATTTATTTATTCTCGTAGAAACTTCCAAGTTTTCTAAATTTATAAAAATATTTGCCTTCGTTTTCAATATTTGTACTGATCGAATAGCTTTCGAACAAAATAAATCATTCGTTCTGTCAATCATAATTGAGTTTTTTTGCTGTTCTTTCATACTTCACTGTAAAAATGTCCATAAAAACTATATTACTTATTACTCGAAAATATATAAATTTCGATGAAAGAAAATAATTTATTGACTCAACAGCAACCTACAAAAATAGTATTAATCATTAATACAATAGGATTTTCATTTCGAAGGAAGTAACTAGCTCGATGCTTCAAACAAAATACAAAAACATAGAACACGATATAAATGGAACAAAATTGACCATCTTTCCGATTCAGATTATGCTTTAAATCGTCTACTGACATTTGTGTCAAGAACAAATCTTATGCTGTAAATACTTATCAGCAATGACAACAACGAATCAATTATTGTCTCCTGCAGATATTTCACTATCTGACAATCATTTCTTAAAGCAACTATCACAGTATGACATTAAAAATTACAATCTTATTCTATTAGACCCAAACACCGACGAATTCAATCCGAATATAGAACATTCCATCGCCCAACTTAGTACTATTATTAGTAGAATCAAAACATTCACTGATGTTGATAAATGTGTCGACTTTTTGACCGAAATCAATGATGAACTGATGTTTTTAATTGTGTCCAATGTCTATGGAGAAAACTTTGTACCTTTCATTCATGGACTGCCGCAGCTTTACTCGATCTATGTATTATATGATTGCGAGATAAGCAACAATGAATGGATTAAAGAATTGAATAAGGTAAAAGGCGTCTATACTGATATTAGTTCTATCTGTGATTCACTCAAATATGACATACGTCGATGTAACGAGAATTTGACATCGACCAGTATTCTTCCTAACAATAATTTTTCAAAAATAAACTTGAATGAACTTGATCCATCATTCATGTATACTAAACTATTAAAAGAGATCTTACTCAAATTAGACTATGATGAACATCAACGAAAACATTTAGCAGATTTATCTCGTCATTTTTATGGTACTGAAATGAACGTATTAAAAATGATTGATGAATTCGAACGGAACTATGACAGCAATGCATCCATCTGGTGGTATACACGTTGGTGTTTCCTTTACCAGATGCTTAATCGAGCTTTAAGATTAGAAGATGTTGAGACTGTAATTACCATGGGTTTTTTTCTACGTGATCTTCATCAAAAGATTAAAGAACTACAATCAAAATCTGATCAACAAGAATCTTTTATCGTCTATCGAGGTCAAGCCATGACTAATTATGATTTCGAGAAGTTACGCGAATGTAAAGGTGGTTTATTTTCATTTAATAATTTTTTATCGACAAGTATAGATAAGCAAGTTTCTCTTATGTATGCGGAGAGTAATGCAGATAACCCAGATATGAAAGGCGTTCTTTTCGTAATGAAAATCGATACAATAAATGCAACAATACCATTTATTTCTCTCGATGATATCAGTTATTATCCAGAAGAAAAGGAAATTCTCTTCTCGATGCACTCAGTTTTTCGCATTGGTGACATAAAAAAGATTGAGAATGAAGTATGGCAAGTAGACTTGACACTAACAAGTGATGATGATCAACAGCTTAAGATTCTCACTGAATATATGAGAGAAGATTTAGGTGGAGGAACCCCATGGCAACAATTAGGTCATTTGATGTACAAAATGGGACAATTTAAAAAGGGCGAAGAAATCTATAAAATGTTACTCGATATTACATCTGTCAATGACGAGAATGAAATTACTATTCTCTATCACATGCTTGGAATTTTGAAACATAAGAAAGGTGATTTTAAACAGGCTCTATCGTTCTATCAAAGTGTACTTGAAATTCGACAAAATACTGTCTCGCCCAATCATCCTAGTTTGGCTACTCTATATAGCAATATAAGCTCTGCATACCATAATATGGGAGAATACTCGGCTGCACTTACTAACTATAAAAAAGCGCTTGACATCGTTCAAAACTCTCAGCCAGTGAATCATGCCGAACTGGCTACTATCTACAGTAACATTGGTGTAACGTATCGTAACATGGGAGAATACTCAAATGCACTCTGGAACTATCGAGAGGCGCTTAAAATAAGACAAAAACATCTTCCATTGAAACATCCAGAATTAGCTCATGTTTACATCAATATTGGTGCCGTCTATGGCGATGTGGGAAACTACACCGATTCATTAGAAAATCATGAAAAAGCGGTTGAAATTTTAAAAAAATCTCTCCCTTCGAACCATCCTGATCTAGCTATAGCTTATAGTAGCCTTGGCTCAATCTGTTTCAGAATAGGTAAGCATACCGATGCCATCCAAAATTATAAAGAAGCGCTTAAAATCCTTGAAATACCCGACTTTTTGGATCATCCTGATTTGGCTATTCTCTACAATAATATTGGTGCCGGGTGTTTCGTGATTGGGGATTATTTGGGTGCACTCTCACATTATGAAAAAGTGCTTGAAA